AGATAAAATATCTGTACTAGGTTCTTTTTTTTTTTTTTTTTTAATTTAAAGTTGGATTCTTCAGTGAACCAGAGCAGAAAAGAATAATGAAATCCTTGGGAGTTTTACTGGTGATCCTGTGGCTTCAGTTAAGCTGTGAGTTTGGGCATCTCTACAGGAACATAATGCACAATATTTGGAGATAATGTCTATCCTAAGCTGGTGGCTAGAAGCCTGAATTTTTTTTTTCTGTAACTAAGGGAGGGTAGAGGGCCTGTAAAAAGATGATTAAAATTCTGGGGAGTAAGTATTTACCTCCCAAATTGTCTTCTCTTTCTGACCACTGTCTTTTTCACAGGGGTTTTGAGCCAACAGAAGGAGGTGGAGCAGGATCCTGGACCCTTCAATGTTCCAGAGGGAACCACTGTTGCTTTCAACTGCACTTATAGCAACAGTGCTTCTCAGTCTTTCTTCTGGTACAGACAGGATCCCAGGAAAGGACCTAAGTTGCTGATGTCCGTATACTCCAGTGGTAACGAAGATGGAAGGTTTACAGCACAGCTCAATAGAGCCAGCCGGTATGTTTCCTTGCTCATCAGAGACTCCCAGCTCAGTGACTCAGCCACCTACCTCTGTGCAGTGAGCACACAGTGCTCCCCAGACACCTGCAGTCTGTACCCAAACCTGCTGGGCCCCAGGAATGCCTGATGTAGAGCTTAGACTGCAGGGCAGTAAAGTTCTCTTTGCTCTCTAGATTCCAGTGGAAATTAAGAGTACTAGTATGGAGGACTGATTGATTAGGGAAGTATTAATATAATTCTGAAAATAATTGAGACCCTCAAGGAAAATGAAAGATACAATCTTGATCTGTTTAAAATATTTTCCAGTATTCCCTTTCTACTTTAGTTAAAAATATATATATATTTCGAGACAAAGTCTTGCTCTGTTACCCAGGCTGGAGTGCAGTGGTGTGATCTCAGCTCACTGCAACCTCCGCCTCCTAGGTTCAAGTGATTCGACTTCCTCAGCCTTCCAAGTATCTGGGACTACAGGCATGTGCCATTATACCCGGCTAATTTTTTCTTAATTTTTAGTAGAGACGGGGTTTCACTATGTTAGCCAGGATGGTCTTGATCTCCTGACCTCGTGATCTGCCCGCCGCAGCCTCCCAAAGTGTTGGGATTACAGGCCCGAGCCACTGCTCCTGGCAGTTTAAAAATATTTTTATCTTTCTTCTGGAGAGATTTAAAAAAAATGTTTTTTTATTGAGATAACTCACAAACCAAAAGGAGCACATACTCATTTCATACGTACATCACACTCTATGCCATAAGCATATCCATCATCTCTAAAACTTTACTTCCTCCTTTTTAAAAATTTAGGTATGATTGGTATATGGCAAGGTGCATATATTATATAATGTATACATTTTAATGCCCACTCTAGTTTTATGCCACATCTTTGCTTTATGAGATTGTTTTTATGACTCTTTTTGTTTATATCAGGAAAAGATTTTCATACAATGACAGATATTCTGTCACTGTCTACAGGACATCTTATTATCTCCCTGTTTAGTTGCCCAAGAAGTTTGAAAGCCATTGCTTTAGGAATGCAACAGAAAAACACAAATACAAAATAAAAAAAATCAGCAAACTCCTGTGAAAATCCTGTAAGTCATAAATTATTTTAGTTATAGAAAACTCACCCCATCTCCAGCCTCAGCTGCAGCGCCACTCATGATTTATATAAAGGCACATTTTATGAGTAGATGGAAGAACTAGAGGGAGAGGGTGAGAACTGGTTAAAAAAAAAGCCTACGTATTTTCAGAGATGAAAGATTAGAGAGAGTCTATGTTGCAATTTTGGGGTAAAGTCTGAATTGAACTCAAAACCTTGTGGAAGAGTATGTTGATTCCTATGTAATTGAATGTAGCATTAGCCTTACCCACAGCATGCCACATACTCACAGCCCCTGCTGGAATGGCTTAAAATTCATTGAGAAGGATCTCTAAGTATCTAAAAGAAGTCTAGACACCAAGGGGCTTTGTTACTATGAGCAAAGACCTGTATAAATCAGTTACTAGAGACCATATGGTATTGAGCATGTTCCAGCAAATGTTGGAGGAGAGTTTGAAACACTGAAGAGCATATAAATGCTTCCCTCCTCTGACTACCTGGCACTACAGATTTGCCCTGCAATGCATATTAGGATAAGGCAAAATATTTGTGCCTGATGAAAATAAGGCTTTTTAGTAGATATTAAGTTGAATTACAGGAAAAAATTTTGAACAACACTTTATTATAGAAGTGAAGTTGTAGCCTGTTGGGCATGATGTTGTTTATGTAGACCCCAAAGTGGGAAAAGTTTAGAAATGGAGAATTAAGATTTATGTCCAGGGTTGTTCCCGTAGTCACTGATGAAAAGGATGCAACTCAATCAAATTTGCTTCAAATTCTTAATCTGAAGAGCAAAAGACTGAACAAATCTTTCCAAGTCTTAGCAGAAAGATTTGAAAGGCAGTAAGGAAGGGCAGAAAGTTGAGCCAGAATCAAGATACTTACATTTTAGTTCCATATTTATTGTATCACTTCTGGTTTCCTGCCATTCTGGAAAGAATCTGTGTTGTGTTTTTTTGAATATTTATATTACTAATGGGCCATCTATTAGGCTATATATTATATATATTTTAGGATTCATTTCAGTATTAAATGAGATAATATACAGCCTTGGGATGAGTTCCTTAAAAGCAGAGACTGCACTTGGAATTCTTTCTCCATAATTGATTGAAGAAACCAGGTTGAGGCGGGGAAAGGCTAAGCATGAACATGGTCCAGCAGGCGTCTTGATCCAGACTGACCTCATAAGGAGCTCTGGATCGTGAACTACATCACAGGGTTGATCCCTCCCACCCTGAGATGAGGGAACCAGACTGTTCTGACGTACTGTGGGTAAGAATAAGGTCCTCATTGGCTGCGGTGTTTCCTGGGGTAGCAGTAAATGCTGCTGGACAGTGGTGACTCTCATTGGCTGAGGTCAACTAGGAAAAGGGGCAACTGTGAGCCAAGAGTAGCCAACACTCACAGTAGCAGGGGATGGCTACATTGTCCTGGGAAAGGGGATTGAGGCTGAGGACAGCAGTGTTCATTATTAACACGGAACTTGCCTGGGATGTGGGCAGCATTCAAGAAATAACAAACTTTAATTGTATTCCGAGTTTTAATTTCTTTCTCTATTCGAGGGGGTTTATACAGGTGGCCTTACCAGTTTTGAAGAGTTGAAATAATGTTAAAACACTTGTTAACAGAAACCATCTAAATAAATATAAAAAATAAATATAAGGAAATATTTTTCTTTCAAAGCTAAAATTCAGGAATTTTTAAAAGAATTGTAACCAGAGAACCACTCTTTTGGGAATTATGAGATGACATTCTGTTCAGCACCTTCTTTCCTGGTTGCAATGATTCTCATGATTTACAGTTCATAACTCGGGGCTTCCATGTGTAGCGAGAACAACAGAGATACCATCTGTATTTATACATGACTAATGCTATTTTGTTATTAATTTGTACTTAAGAATGGAGGACTGGATAGCAGGATGGCATCTTCATGTCATTGTGCCCATGTTCCCCAGAAGGTTTCTTCTTGAATGGGGTGCCTGGCCGGTAGTGTGGGTATGTGAATTGACAGGCTTCTTTATAGGATGAATGAGGAGAGGGAACTGGTAATTAAGTTGCTTCTTTTTGTTCCCTGCACCTAATATCATTGAAAATGGCCTAATTCTGTCAACTACTCATAATAAAAACTGAAACGGCCCGACATGGTTCATGCAAACTCTCATGAAGATGAAATGCCCCAGGTTGGCTTCATATACTTTTGAAACACAAATACAGAAGCAGGATGATGAGAATAGAGAGAGGCTAGTGCAGCTATTCCACATGTGGGCTTTCACTATGTTCTCTTGTATTCTGTTCCTCTCACCATTTATCACCTACTCTCTTTCTCAACCCAGAATCTCTTCAGGGTCCCACCCAGTAGATTCCCTTCACTCACATTTCCACTATAATCTTCTCGTAGCTCATTCTGGCCTGGACTTTTTCCCTCTCGGTTTTGTCCATCAGTGTGCGTATCCACTTTTCATCTACCTCATGGGAATTGTGATCTCTTTCATCTTTTTATTACCTTTACTATTAATGGATTCAGGCCATTCTGTTTATGCTTTTAAATTTCATTTCAGTGGGAATTTTAGAGAGTTAAGAGGACAGCATGTATGTTTAGTTAGAAGTTTTGTATCAGAAGCCCACCCTAGTAATATTTAACTTTTCAAACTGACTGTATAATTTTGTCTTACATGAGGTAAAAAAGTTATAGGCAGAATCAAGGAATAGATCAGAAGTCCAAGAGAAACCTGATTTCGGGTTGGTACAAGTCAATGGAGTATTCAGAAAGCAGCTTTTGTTCTGACCTTTTAAAATCCCATTTTACCTGAGATTTTTCTCCTTATTTGGTTATTTCATTTTTAGGATCCAATGATCTCTATGCTACAGTAAGTTGGGTGGGGAAGGTTTTTTGCTCAAAAGCTTCACTTTGTTATTGGGGGACAGAGCAGTCTGTTCTTGTTCGATATGCCTTGTCTCCCACCCACACGGCACTGCTGCTGCTTAGCTCTGCTGAGCGTCGCTCAGTACCTCTCACGATTTCCACACCTCTCACAGATTCCTCTTGTTCTGGTCTGCTGGTTGCACTCCTTTCAACTGTATTGAGTTCATGTAGGTTTACTTTTTGAAAAATGTATTTAACTATTTTGATAATCACTTATTTATATGTTACATTTTCTTCCACTTACTCTGTTCAAGTTTCTTCACAGATTTCATGGATGGAGGAACTTAATTGTGGAGATAAAGAAACTGCATTAGTTTTTTTTTTAGTGTCGGATTCTCATAATTTGGCACATTATGTCAGTTTATTCTGAACACTGACAGCTGGAACAGGACTCTCACTTTCTCTTCTCAAATGTAAGTTACCTAAGTTATTTCCTCCTAGGTTCACAAATATTAAACTTGTTGACCTGAAATTAGGAAGTCTTTTTCTCACTTTCTACTTGAGAAAGAAAATTCTTGCTTTTAATTGTTTGCTTTGTTTAAGTAATTAATGACATATGATCCAGGTTGATTTTAAGTATGAGTCTCTGGTCTTTTTTTTTTTTTTTAAAGACTCAAAGAAACAATCTCTTTCACCTACTCTAATGTTCACATGTAGCTGCACGGCCCATATGAAGCTCGGCCCCCACTGAGCCAACTGATCACCTCCCCTCTCCCTAATGAATGGCTTTACTAATACAGAGTGTCTAGATGATTTTCCAAACCCTAGAACGTTGTCTTCTGTGACTAATTTCTCAGTGAAGTAAATTACTCTTCTATTTTTACATAACTCTCATTTCTCATGTATTTAAAATTAAAACCATATACTCTGCGGAAGGTGACGTAATCACAGACTCGGGAAGAAGGAAACACTTTCTGTTGGTTTTAATATCACATCTCTCAAAGGAGAAGGAAACAGTTCACTTCCTTGGATCTGGGGTTCCGCCTGAGGCCTCTAGGGGGCGACGTTGCACTAAGGAGGCATCTGTTTTCGTCCCAGACCATCCTCATTTCACTGAGCCCCCACCCTGCAACTGGCTGATGCAGCTCGCCGATGTCTGTGTAGACAGAGAGTTGTGACTAGAGCAAGAGATCAGAACACATCCAGACTCCTTAAGGAAAGTCTTCTTTCTGTTTTTGAAACTTTTCAAAGTCAGGGACTCGTCCCGTCCAACCTCCGCACTGCTCCTAGCTCCCGAGGCTCAGTGCTCTTGGCCTCTATCCGCCCTGCTCAGGGTCCTGCAGCGTTGCCACTGCTCAGCCATGCTTCTGCTGCTCGTCCCAGTGCTCGCGGTGATTTTTGTCCTGGGTGAGTAGCATTCCATTCCTTTTCCTCCTTTTGTAAATGTGACTACGTTGTAATTGCCTCTAAATAGAGACATCTTTTCTTAGAGAAGTCTGTGCTGCATTTACTTACACAGCATTGGTGTTGCAGGAGGAACCAGAGCCCAGTCTGTGACCCAGCTTGACGGCCAGGTCACTGTCTCTGAAGAAGCCCCTGTGCTGCTGAAGTGCAACTACTCGTCGTCTGTTACAGTGTATCCCTTCTGGTATGTGCAATACCCCAACCAAGGACTCCAGCTTCTCCTGAAGTATCTATCAGGACCCACCCTGGTTAAAGGCATCAAAGGTTTTGAGGCTGAAATTAAGAAGAGTGAAAGCTCCTTCCACCTGAGGAAATCCTCAGCCCATGTGAGCGACGCAGCTGAGTACTTCTGTGCTGTGAGTGACACAGTGCCTGAGACTGCAGGGGAGCTGAACACAAACCCCCTGAGATGCTGAGATTTTCTGTGACTCAAGAACTCAACCTTGAAGTCTGTTTTATAATGTTAAATAGCCATTCATAGTTTCTGATGCTTACTGGTGTATGCTATATTTTTTTCCATCTGTTCATTTTTTAACCATGACTTTAAATTTAAAGTGTGTTTCCTTTAGGTAGCTTAATATAGGGTCTTCCTTTCTATCCACTAAGTCAATCTCTGGTCTTGCAATGGGAAGTTTAAATAATTGTAATTTAATATGTATTGATGAAATTGAATTCTAGTATACTATGTTATTATTGTGTTTCTGTTTCACCCTTATTATTTTTTTTAACTGACTTTTTTGGGATTATTTGAATATTTTAAACACTATGTTATCTATGGACTTCTTTGGTTATATTTCCATATTTTTTCAGTGGTTGCTCTGGAGATTATAGTACATATGACTAACTATCCAGGGTCTTCTGTGATATTGTACCTCTTTATGTAAAATGCAGAAAGTTCTGCAGAATGTCTCTTTATCCATCAACACTGAAGTTTGTTGTAGTAGTTCATGTATATTAAAGCTACATATATTGGAAACCTCACCATATAGTGGTACAATTTTTATTTTAAATAATTGTATGGACTGTATAAAACTTACTAGGAATAATAATAAATATGTCATGGTTAACATCTGTTTACCAGCTCTGGAATCCTTGCTTTGTTTCTAAAGTAAGTTTTCCTCTGACACCAGGAGATGTGTTTGAAATGACATTGTTCCCTTCAAACTTGAAAAACTCCCTTTAATATTTTTTTTTAGAGCAGGAGTGCTGGTAATTGTATTTCTTAGTCATATGTTATCTGAAGAGGTCTTTATTCTTAATTTGCCCTTTATTTGTGGAAGATATTTTTACTGGATCTGTAATTCTGTGCCAACCATCCCCCCTCCTCTCATTGTCTGTTGGTCTCCAGGTTTTCTGGTTAGAAATCTATGGTTATTCAAGTAATTGTTCCTAAATGATATTAATATGTTGCTTTTCTCTAGCTGCTTCATAGATATGCTATTTGTACACACACATACATGCAGGTAAAATCATATCGACTTTTGTTGCCCTTGGTTTAATTTTGATGTTTACATGTGGTTTCCTTTCATTTTATCCTGTTTGGGACTTGAATTCATAAGTTTGTCTTTCTTTGAATTTGGTATGTTTTCTGGCCCAATCTCTTTCTCTTCTCCTTCGAGGACTCCAATTAGTTACAGCTTAGAATTTAGAACATTGTCCCACTAGGCCTCCTTGGCTCTATTTTTTTTCTTTCATTTTTTTTTCTTGATTTTAAGGTCTGCCTCTACTCACTAGATGCCTGTAGATTATATACCCCAAGTTGTGACAACCAAATTCGTATCTAGATTTGTCAAGTGTCTCCTGAGGGGAGCAAAGTCAAAATTAATTAGGTTAGATAATCTATACTGATCTTTTTTCAAGTTTGTTATTCTTTTCTCTATCATCTTCATTTTGCTATTGAGCCCTTACAGTGAGATTTTCATTTTGGGTAGTTTCCACTTCCAAAATCTCCATTTTTAAACTTTGTGTTATATAATCAAAAGAGCTACTTTAACATCTTTTTCTATTACTTCTAGCATTTTAGTCATCTTGATCTTTCATCTGTTGATCTTTTACTTAAATATTAGCCCACTTTTCTGATCCTTTGTATGTCCAATCATTTTGAAATACATCTCAAACATTTTAAATATATGTGTGTAGACTCTGTTTTCTTCTTCTTCTCCTTCTCATTCTTCTTTAAAAAGCATTCCTCTGAAGAATTTTGATGTTTTTGCTTTAGCAGGAAATCAAACTAGTTTGGTTCATACTGTAAGTTTTCTCCCCCCTTTTGTGGACTTTGGTAGCTCAAAATTTCAGTTCAGTTTTTTAATCATTTGCAATGTTGGTTCGGGTTTATACCTGTCCCATGTAGTTTAGGGACTAGTGTGAAACCTGTTTGGGTGGCTCAAATCTCAGGTCAGCCCTGAACTCTCTGCTACATTGGTTTTAGTTTGTCCTGCATCGGTGCCACTCAAGAGGTAGTCTGAGATGGAAATGGTTGTTCAAATATCAGTTAAATAACCTCAACTTTGTTGATCTGGTTTGAGTCAGTCCCAGGGACATGGAGCTTTGGGATTAGCCTGAGACCTGAGCTGTTTTCCATCTCTTCCCTAGGGTCTCCCTTTTCTAGCCTGGCCCACAGAGGCAGAAAGATTGTGCTTCTTTCAGAGTTTTGGTCTCCTATAGCATTGTTATTGCCACCCTGCCGTACACCAGAGGACTTTCTAAGTGCAAAGTCAAGAGAGAAAAAAAAAATGAAATTCACATTTGCACAAGTTGCTTCTCTAACGTTTGCCCCCCCCCACATTTTGCCTGCTTTGAGTAATTTCAGAGTCCACAGATAGTTATATTTTGTGTGTTTTATTCAGTTTTCACTTGTAACCAATGGGGGAAATGGGCTGTAGGTGTCCTAAAGCTATCTTCTATTCTACTATGTTCCTGATAAACGCTGGTTCTGCACCTGGCCTCCAGAGGGCGATGCTGCGCAAACTGGAGCTCTTGTTTCTGCTGAAGCTCAATCCACTGCTCAGTTCCTCCTCCCTGCAGCTGGTTCTTTCCAGACAGAGACAAGTGACAAGAATCAGAGGTTTAAAAGCAAAGAGATTCATCTCAGCAGTTTTTGCTGTTTTATATAAGCAAGGAGCGTGTACAGAAAACCTTCCTAACACTTCTTGGTCTTGGTCTCTTCAGCCACTTTTTCCTTCCTCTTCTTGGGAGATCTTGCAGAAAAGAGCCTGCAGTGTTTCCCTTGCTCAGCCATGCTCCTGGTGCTCATCACACTGCTGGGGATACATTTTGCCTTGAGTGAGTAAAATTTCTTTATGGTCTCTAGTTCCACGGGTTCTGACTAGAAATGCTTACTTTTTATACTGAGTGTGCACTGCTTTCATTGATAGTACACTGTCTTCCAGGAGATGCCAGAGCCCAGTCAGTGACCCAGCCTGACATCCACATCACTGTCTCTGAAGGAGCCTCACTGGAGTTGAGATGCAACTATTCATATGGGGCAACAGCCTATTTATTCTGGTATGTCCAGTCCCCCGGCCAAGGCCTCCAGCTGCTCCTCAGGTACTTTTCAGGAGACACTCTGGTTCAAGGCATTAAAGGCTTTGAGGCTGAATTTAAGAGGAGTCAATCTTCCTTCAACCTGAGGAAACCCTCTGTGCATTGGAGTGATGCTGCTGAGTACTTCTGTGCTGTGAGTGCCACAGTGCCTGGGTCTGCAGGGGGAGCTGAACGCAAACTGTCTATGCTAGAGGAGTTTTCAGAGACAAAATATCTCTTCTTGTGGCATTTTCAAAGATCTGTTGTTTTATGACGGTGAATGAGGCAAAGAGGGCTGAGCTGACTCAGGCATTTCTATATAATTCTGCAATTTGTGTTATGCTCCAAGTCTGATAAAATTAGCTTCAGAGGCTTTTTCTCATTGTAGAAACTACATAATGGGAAATACTATTCTAGACTGATGGAAGAGATAGTGTTCTTACAACAGGTACTCCATGACTTACCTTGATGTTGTCTGCATTAGCGTGCTGACTATGTGAGCTGTGACATGGCCTAGGAGAAACTTGGTTCTCGTTGATCATTTCATCTCTCATCTAATCTGGAAAACAAGATGATTTTCTCATGTTCTTACCTTGCAAATTTGTTTTCTTTTCAAGTTGGTCATTCATAGGCTTTTTTTTTTAGAGTTTCTTTTTCTGCCTCTAACTGTGGTATATATGTGTCTAAATATTTGGTCTGAATTTATCCTTATTTAGAAAGAACTATGAGAAATTATTAGTCAATAATAAAAGAGTGATTAGAATTATAAGGGACTTGGAAAAATGTTAGGTGATGTTGGTTCTGGCAACTATTTAAGAATAGTGCAGAAGAAAAATGAAGATGAAAAATTCACCCGTGTTTCTCCAAATAGTTTTTCACGGTTAGAAAAGCAGTTTCCTATTCTTTTGGTGTCAGAAATGCTGCAAATCTGTATCAGAAATTTGTGGCTATAATCCCTTCATTTTTCTTCTAGCTACTTGCATTGGCATTTCTATTGATTGCTTTCACCCCATTGTTATATGATTTCAGCTACTGGAATATTACAGATTGATTCTTATAACATTTTAATAATCAATCATGTGATAAGTTTAGCAATACCAAAATGTGCTGGAAACACTGATAAAAATTATGATCCATAGTAAAGGGTTACTGACCCAGAATAAATTTATGACTCTTTTTTTGGTCTAGATTGGAAATAACTGTTTAAGAAGCTTTTATGCTTCTTGTTTGCTTGAAGCCTTGGAGGATAGCAAGTAGTCTGGAGAAAAAGGAGAAGGAGAAGGAAGGTTTCTAGCTTTTATTTGGCTGGCATTAGAGTGTATAAGAGGGTAAGTGCATAGGAACCCTCAAATATAGAGAGAATAAGTGAATTGTGGCCTATGGTACACCTTAGCCAAATGGTGAACTAGCAGATCAGCAGCACTTTTTAGGACCTAGTGAGATGATTACATGTGACGGATGTTTCAATGATTCCTGGATGGATATAAGGAAGGCAAATGGAACACTAGAGATGTACAATTATGAATAAGAAATCTGCTCACGTAATGTCTCCTGCCTCAGCCCCTCCATTCTTTTCTATTTTTAAAGCACACTGTCTTCTATCTTTGATAAGATGGCTAACTTCAGACGACTCACTGTTAGCAGCTCAGCCACATTGCCCAAAGGGAGTATTATGGGCATTTTGTGCAGAATCTCGAAGGAGGTAGAAATATAGAATTGTTTTGTTGTTGTATGTATTTCAAATGTGTGTAGAAAATTGCATATAGAAGTTGAATAGTCCAAGGGGTGGATTTATTTATTGACTCTCAGCTTCAAATTCACCCCTTGCCTCTTCTGTGAATGTGGATCTGTACCCTTCAACCATGTTCCTTGCCAATTGCCACAGTGCTATACTTTGTCAGTAGAGGATCAGGAAGAAGAAGTTTTGCTTTTTGCTTTCTGTGTTCCCATGCGACAGGTTCCTGCAGTCTGGGAGGCTTCTCCAGTGTCCAGTTCTTGCAGTGCACCCACACCGGGTTCCTGCGCTGCATAGTGGCCAGCAGCGTCCTCCAGCACTTGCATTTTTGGGTGATACTGTAGAAGAGAGCCTGCAGTGAGACACCTCCCTTTGTCCATCTTTCCCCAGATTCAACCCTAGATTTGTGAACTGACACCCTAGATGATGGTTTTCTGGTAAGTACGAGAGGGTGGATTTCTCTATAGAAAGTTCACAGAACCACAGGGACTTCTTTGTCATCTAGTAAGCCACAGTTGTGCCTTTCCCAATAAGAGCTGGGTCTCAGCCCTGGGCTGTGAGGGTAGGGGGTCTCTTCTTGGGGTGTTATACCCAGCCCTAGGAGTAGAGACTGCACCTTATATCTGCTATTCCTACAGGAATAGGAATAGCAGTTTTCTTTTATTTGTATTACCTATTTCCTTGTTACTCTAACCCCTGTTAAAATTAATAATATTTTATATTAATATTAAACTTTTACTACAATTACAAAAAAGCATTTCCTGTTCAAATTATTATATGGTCTCTCTTTCCTTATTGGACCAGACTTATACATGGACCAAGGGTCTCAAGCCACTCCATCTACCCACTCACTCCTGCCTGACAAGTCAAGTTTCTTGTTTTATTTATTGCTCATGTGTTGCATTTATTTATGGTTTTATTATTTTACTTATTTATTGTTGATTATGAGAAACTTTATGCAATAAAGAATTACATTAAGAATTTGGAAATGTTATATTTTTATATTAATGAAATTAATTTTATTTTTCACATTTTGTGTGTGTTTGACACAAAATTTTATTTTAGCATTGAAGCAAATTGTAATCCCTTTTAAATGTATTTTAACTTCTGACACAAATAGTCTTGCATTCACCAATGAGACAGGGTCTGAAGATGTTAAATTCCAAGTCATTTTTCATTCATCAGACTCTCTTTATTATCCTTATTTTTGATTTCTTTAAAATGAAGGGGAAAGACCATGATAATTTTAAAACAATCTGAAGCTAGAATATTTCTATCATCCAGGAAGTTTTTGAGTGTACCTTTCTAGTCAACCCACCTTCTGGAGGCAACAGATATACTTTAACAATTTTAGAGCTTCAAATCAATGGGATTATTAGGTAGGTACTCTCTTGTGCCTGGTTTCTTTCACTCATCATGTTCTGGAGGTTAATTCATGTTCATTACTGTGATTGTTGAGAAGTTTCCTATTATATGAATAAAGCACAATTTATTTATTCATTCTCTGTGCACGCGATTGGCTGATTACAGAATCTTTTAGGGATTAAAGCCTTGTTTCCCTCCTTTTTTTTTTTTTTTAAATTAGATTCAGAGGTTACATGAGCAAGTTTGTTACATGCGAACATTGCGTGATGCTGAGGTTTGGGCTTCTAATGATTTGTAGTGAACATAGTACCCTCTAGAGAGTTTTTCAACACTTCCCTTTTCTCTCTTTCCCCACATTTGGAATCCACAGTGGTTATTGTTCTCATCTTTGTGTCCATGTGTACTCAATGTTTAATTCGCCCTTATAAGTGAGAACATTTGGCTTTCTGTTTCTATGTTAATTCACTTAGGATAATGGCCTCCAGCTTCATCCATGTTGCTGCAAAGGACATGATCTCATTCTTTTTATGGCTGTGTAGTATTCCGTGGTGTACATTTTCTTCATCCAGACTGGTGGGAATTTGGTAGCATTCTTTTTTTTTTTTTTTTTTGAGACAGAGTTTCGCTCTTGTTACCCAGGCTGGAGTGCAATGGCGTGATCTCCGCTCACCGCAACCTCCGCCTCCTGGGTTCAGGCAATTCTCCTGCCTCAGCATCCTGAGTAGCTGGGATTACAGGCCCGCGCCACCATGCCCAGCTAATTTTTTGTATTCTTAGTAGAGACAGGGTTTCACCATGTTGATCAGGATAGTCTGGATCTCTTGACCTCGTTAAGGGTGCAAGGTACAGGCTGTTCTAGATTTTTATATGCTGTTCATCTAAGAGTAGCGTTAAAGTTCTATAGTTCAAATCTGTATCTTAAATGCTTTTATTTAAAAACCCATTTCTAAAATTAATTATGCTATTTAACCTGCCACTAACTTTTCTAACAAAAGCCCAATATTTGATATTTCCTGTGCTACTTATAAAAGCTTCAGGTGTCATTCAAGCTGTGGGTAACTGAACTGTAATTTTCTCTGTTGTGATCTTACATATTAATAACAATGTAGCTGACCGCCTTGGGGTTTGCTTTCTTGACTAAGTCAGTTGACTCTTTAGCGTTGAGAATTAAGTTAACTAGTTCACTTTTGATATTCTGTGGTTTCTGTTGACAAGATTTCATGTAATTATATATTCTAGCACTTTGGTGTAAATACAGTTACTTGGTAACTGATATATAGATATTATGAACAATATTTAGGTAGTTGTTCCTGCAAATCCTGAAGATCTGTAAGTCATCTAATTATAATCCTTGCTCAACAGTCATTCCAGAGAACTTATTTAATATTTAGAGACATTTTGCTATATACAGTACATATTAAAATATTTTAAAGCTTATTGGGTAACTTATGAAGAAAATTTTCACTGTTATTTAATATGAAATATGCAGCACATCCAATACAAATTTCCAATTGTTTAAGCACATTAACAAAGTTGTCAAGATAATTAGACCCCTATCCAGAATTCTTATGGGGGTATCTAAGATAAGGGAGCACTTTTGTTTAAGAA